AAGTCTGGTCAAGATGTGGGTCAGCGCGCGGATCCTGGCTTAGCAAAACGAGGTCATTCTAGAGCCGTATAAAAGGGCCCTTTCAGTTTTTTTTCTCAAAAACCTCAGATCTTTTCTCTCTCAACCCTTCAAAATCTTCTGACCTCTCTATAAAAACCCACTAGAAAGTTCAATCGAAAATTGAAAATCCTATTGGTTTCTGAAAACTTCACCAAAAAATTCAGTCGAAAACTGAAGAACCCATAAGTTTTTAAAAAGTCTGTCGAATTTTGGAAATCTGGTCGAAATCTTGCTAGAAAATTCAAACCCTGCCAAAAAATTCAACCAAAAAATTCATCATTCGTCGAAAAATTCATCCTAAACCCAGAAAAACCCAAAAAAATTCCTAAAAAAAAAAATCTTGAAAAATTTAAAAAAATTCCTAGGTTGTCCTAAAACTCCCAAAATGTTTTACTACTTTAAAATCACTTCCAGAAACGCAAAATGCCTCAAGAACTCCAAATCAAAACCAAAATCCCAATTTTCGAATCGCAGAAGCCCCTTTCTGCCTAAATTTCCTTAGATCTTCTCCAGTAATTTTCTCTCTGCTTTTTCTTCGTTTTTGTGTGTTTTTCTATGTCAGAATCAGTCTAATTTATAGGCAGCCTTGGATCAAATTTAGGAAACAGATAGAATCAATTCATGGGATTGCATTCTGTTCAGACGAGATTTTAGGTCCAAAATTTCAGCCGTATTAATTTGATTCTGTGTTGACCCAAAAATATGGTGATTCTGATCCTTATTCACATGCAATTTGAGAGAAAAGGAAACAAAAAATAATAATAATAATGGTAACAAAATCCAATTGGACCAAAATGGGCCTAATCGGGTTTGATTGAAATGGGCCTAACTGGTCTCAAACTAAGATGGGCCTAATTAAGCTCGGGCCAGGGCCAAAATAGGCCCAGTTGGGTCAGGGCCAGAATGGGTCCAACTAAGCTTGGACAAGAATGGGCTCGGACTGAAATAGGTGTCTACATACATTAGTATTTAAACATCCAAATTCGTTATCAAGTTGATACCCAAGACTAATGCCGTTAGTTAACTTTGTTAATGTAGCAAGAATATCTAATAAGATGTTGACACAAATAAGAAAAGTCCAGTTAGTGTCATATTATCAATGCCACATCATGCCCACATCATCTTTACAAGAAAAATTAAAAAAATATATATAACCTTTTTACAAATTATAAAAATTCAAAAAAATTCTTAACTTTCTTTTGAAAAAATTCTAAATTTTTAATTTTTTTCAAACTTATAAAATTTTAAAAATTTCTAAAAAATTTTGACAACTTCAAAAAACTTTTAAAAACTTAAAATATTTCTAAAAAAATTTAAAAAATTATTAAAAACATTTTTTAAGAAATTTAAAATTTTTTAAAATTTATACAAATTTTAATTTAATTTTTTAAAAATTCTAAAAAACCTGCAAAAAACTTTTTAAAATTTTATAAAAAATTAAAAATTCTAAAAAATTCAAAACAATTCTAAAAAGTTATAAAAATTAATAAATTTAATAATTTATAAAAATAAAAAAATTAAATTTATAAAAATTAAATTTTCTTAGGGTTTAAAAAAATCACAAAAAACTTAAAAATCTGATTATAAGAAAAAAATCTACAAACTTTTAAAAATTTTTGAAAAATTAAATAATTTCAAATTTTGAAACATACTTTAAAATAAAAAAATCTAAAAAATAATATAGCGAAAAAGTTAATAAAAATCCAAAAGATTTAAAAAAATTTTAAAATTCAACAAATAGATAAAAATTGAAATTGTAAGATTAAAAAATAAAAATATGTAAAAATTTTATAACGTTTTTTATATATTTTATTTTATTTTTTGACTTTTTGTTATTTTTTTTAATTTTATCAATATTTTCATTTTATTAAAATCTCCATTTTTTGTTTTTTCATTGTTTAATTTTTTTAATAGTTTGAAAATTTTTGAAAATTTTTAAGTTTCCTTAATTCTTTTTGAATTTTAAAAATTATCTTGAATTTTTGTAATTTTTTTAGAATTTTAGAATTTGTTTTTTAATTTTCTAAAAATTTTTTAGAGTTATTAACAAATTTTAGAATTTTTTGAAAATTTGTTAGAATTTTTGAAAATTTTTAAAAATTTTATTAGAATTTTTAGAATTCTTTTATAATTTTTAGTAATTTTGAAAATATTTTTCTGAATTTTAAAATTTTTAGAATTTTTTTAAATTTTTATTTGAATTTTTTATTTTTTTTGAGTTGTCTGATTTTTTAAAAAATATTATTTTAGAAATTTTAGATTTTTTAAAAATTTTTTATAATTTCTTAATTTTTATAATGTTTTAGATTTTTTGAACTTCTTAATTTTTTTTGAAAATTTTACAATATTTTTATTTTTTAAATAATTTTAAAAATACTTTAAAATTTTTTGTGAATTTCTCTTTTTAAAATGATATGGGCATGATGTGAAATTGATGATGTAATATTGGTTAGACTTTTTTGATATGTGTCATTATCTTATTAAATATTCATGTTACGTCAAAAAAATTAATTAATGGTGTTAGTTTGAAGTACTAATATAATAACGGATTTGAACATTTAGGTATTAATATAATAAAAAAATTATTTAGGTACCAATATGATCAAAATTACAAAGTTAAGGGGCGCTTTTTTGTTATTTTCATTTTTTTTCAATGTTTACTTTTTTGGATTTTTTTTTATTTTTCAAAACTTTAACTTCCAAAATTTGTAATTTAAAGAATCATAAAAATAAAAAAGAAAAAATATTTTTTATATTTTAAAATTTTCTTGAAATTTTTTTATTATAAAAATAAATTTTTTATTTTGAATTTCTTTAATAAATTTAAAAAAACTAAACATAAAAATTTTTCTTTTGCTGGCTTGATGCTCACATGTTATATGACTCAGCCTTTGTACGAGAGATGGTAGGTTATTATTGGTCAGTAAAGTAATGTCAGAGTTTTTAATGGAGGCATTTAAATATTTAATAATGAGTTTTTATTTTACAGATAACAATATGACAAAAGTAAAGGCAAGTCAGAACAAATTTTCAGTGGATCATATGTCAACTTTTGTTATGTAAATACGATCTTTTATATATTATATTATTAAAAATTATATATTAAATATGAAAGTTTTAAGTTTAAAAAATCATAGAATATATTATCTCGTTATTTTATTAAAAAGTTAATACAATGATAATACGATATTATTTTAGATCTATGATTTGATCATCTATAAATTTTATAAGTTAAGTTGAATTTTATTTCATTTTTCTTTGTTATTATTTATTTTTTCCACTAAAAGAAGACAGATTTTGTGTTTAGATACAAGAGTAAACAAATTTTTTATGAAATTATATGCAATAAAAAAATTACAATCAATAATTAAATAATTTTTAATATTCATCAAGAAAAGAAACTAAAAAGTAAATCAAATTAACAACTAACCCATCAATATGAAAATTTGGGCAAAACTCTCATGTGGCTTGAACTTAGATAAGATTTCATTAGTAAGTAAATAGTATTTTCAAATCAGTAATTTTTTTGGCAAAAATACTAAAAGAGCCTTTAAATTTTATCATTTTACTTAAATAATCTCATATTTTTTTATTGTACTCAATAAGTCTTTGTTCTTTGATTTATATCTAATTATAAGTCATTGTTTCAAACAAAATATTGATTTATGTTAAAAGTTTATTTAAATATAAAGTAAATGTTAAAAATTTATTCTAATATAATAATAATATAACGGCTTATCTATATAAAGTGGTAAAGTTTATCTCTTTTTTATTATTTTAGCCATTTATTTAATATTTAAATACGTAAAAGTTAAAGATTAAACTATGTGATAATTATTTAAAAATACATCGCATTTCACATTTTAATTGAATATTTTTATTAATAATTAAATAGTAATGAATAAAAAATTTATAATAATATAACATAAATAAAAGCTTTTTTTAAGAAAAAATTTCACACTTTTTTATATTTTTATTTTTTTATGAGGTCAATATAAATAAATTACATAAAAATTTATTAAAATACCTATGATAAATTAATATTTTTGAAAATTCAATGGAATCAATTGATCCATCTTTGAATGTGGGCATGTTACAGGAAAAAATGATATATTTCAGCAGACAAATAACAAATTAAGCTAACGGTAATTGGCGGTTTGTTGAATGAATGATGATTACCATGCGTGGACCTTCCTTGTCTAAAGGGGAAAGGGTGAATATATCAGGCTATATTTTTTAAAAAAAATTATTTGATATATTAATAATAAAAATTTTTAATTTTACAAATGAGATTAATATAGATATTAATATTTTTTTAATTAATTTTTTAAAATATATTTAAAAAATATATATCATTTTGTTAATCATACTTATAAAGTTAAAATTACACTTTCAATATATTTGATAATTTTTTTATTTAAAATAATAAAAAATAAAACATATATTAATTTCTTAAAATCATTTATAAATTAAAAATTTACACCAATAATATATCAAATACTAATTCAATATATAAATATTCATTTGGATTTGATATACCTCAATGATCTTTTATTGACGTTACAATTCTAGTGACATGACGCGTACTGTCTCCTAAGGGTTAAACCATCTATTTATTCAAAATTTTTAAAAATAAAAATATCGATGTAAATAAATAAAACATCGTACACATAAACACTTGTTGGATCAATGGACACTCTTTTTGACCTTTTGTTCTTGTTTTCACATCTGCAACCTTAAGTTTACTGCAGGACATGACTCCCTTGAATTTGCTCTTGCCAATAATTGAATGCGACGTTGCACAATATTGTTCTCATGTTTTCCACGATTTTTGTTTTGAAGATTTAATCTTTCTACGGTGTTCCTTAACCTTATCTGATAAACAAACCATAATGAGCATTAACCAGCTCAAGCTTTTTCTATAAATAGCTCATGCATGTAAGTTGGTGACCAACACAAGTCGGTGCAGAGTTTTCATTTGTTTCAGTAAAATGAAACCAAAGATGGGATTAATCTCTGGGGTTTTAGGGTTTATTTTCCTTAGTGCTCTGCTTTTCGGCAAGGCTCATGGTGCTGTCCATAGCTATTACTGGGTTGTAAGTGTTCTTTGTCACGTTTGAATCATAGCAAAAGTCCTAGAAACTAATAAAGTTGTTGGGTTTAATAATCTTTCGGGGAATAATATATTTGCAGGTGAAGGAGACTAAATTTACAAAGCTCTGTACCACATCCACCGTTCTTACCGTGAACGACAGTTTTCCAGGGCCAGAGATTCATGCTCAGAAAGGTGATACCGTTTTTGTCACAGTCCAGAATGACGGGCCATATGGTATCACTATTCATTGGTATATTGATAATTTCTCTCAAACAATCTCTTGAAGATTAATTTCTAGGAAAAGTGATGATGTTTAAATGAAAAGAAAAAGTATACCAGATTAAGAAAAAAAAATTGATATTTGCAGGCATGGAGTTAGAATGCCGAGGAATCCATGGTCAGATGGTCCGGAGTACATTACACAATGCCCGATTAAGTCTGGAGGAAATTTCACACAGGAGATCGATTTGTCTACCGAGGAAGGAACACTCTGGTGGCATGCCCATAGTGACTGGTCGCGTGCCACAGTTCATGGTGCCATCAAAGTTTCCCCGGCCAACGGAACCAGTTATCCATTCGATGAGCCTGATGGAGATCAAACAATTGTATTCTGTAGGTGAACCAGGACTGATGGTCAGCATGATTCAGAGCATGCTGATGAGTTTAAATGAAAAGTTTTCTCACTATCAATCTGTTTTTCACAGCTTTGGTGCGTGTTACAACTGTTAACCAACACCTTTTTCTTGGTGGCAGCCTCATGGTACAAAGCAAATGTGATGGATGTATTAGACGAATCTATTTCAACCGGCGATGATCCGAATGTTTCAGATGCTTACACCATCAACGGGGAACCAGGGGACTTGTACGACTGCTCTAATGGTATAAAATAAAAACGAACCAATGATTCCGTAATTTTTCTTTCATGATTGTCTATGTTTTGAGTCCTCATAGCCTTAAACATGGAACTAATCTAAGATAATGGTGAATTAGGGAAGGAACAGAGAGATACTTAGTTTTAGAACTCTGTAATTATCTGCTTTATCAGATCAAGATTATGATTTGTAGAGGTTAATTCAAGTTTATAAAGGAAAAAGTGTAGGTGGGAAAAACAGTGGTTAAAAATTTTAAATATTTGATCTTACTGTTAAAAATCACTGAGAGTAATTGAAATATATAAAAAATATATGCATAAAATAATAAAATATTAGAAATAGAATGATAATATACTGATTTTTTATTTCCAATATATTTTTTGAGCGAGGAACTTTGGTTTAGGTTTGAAAATTGAGTTTTTAAATTGAAAAACTATAAATATAAATATAAATATAAATATATATATATATATGTATATATATTTTGTTGTTGTTGTTGTTTATCATTGAGGTTTGGTCAAAAACTGCTTTTGAATGCAAAATCTACTTTCAACATCAATGCTAAACTAGACCAAAGGCATTACCTAACGTTGAACTTGAAGCGGGGATACAGTTTTAAAAATTTGAATTTGCCTCTAATTATTAATTGCCAATATGATCTATATCTGGTTGCAGAAACAATGTACAGTTTGTTGGTTGAGAAGGGCAAGACTTATCTTCTCCGCATTCTCAACTCAATCCTGAATGAAGAAATGTTCTTCGCGATCGCAAACCACAGCATGACGGTTGTTGGGTCGGATGGAGCATACGTCAAACCCTTTTCTAGTGATTATTTGTTCATCACCCCAGGCCAAACAATGGACGTTTTGGTTACAGCAAACAATTCAGCAAGTTACTACTACATGGTTCTTACTCCTTTTCTTGATACTGATTCTTCATATGACAACACCACCTCTAGGGCACTTATCAAATATAGTGGAAATTATACAACTCCAACCTCAATTCCTACGCCAACATTTCCTAATATTAGTGACTCAATATCTGCACAACTCTTTGTTGTTCGATTGAAGAGTTTAGCAGATTCAGCTCACCCTATAAGTGTCCCCAAAAACATCACTAGACAAATCTTCATGACAGTATCTGTGAATCTATTCGCTTGCCCAAATTCAACAGGTTGCACAGTTGATGGCAATAATAAGCTGGCAGCAAGCTTAAATAACAATAGCTTTGTGTCGCCATCAACCGCTCTGCTACAAGAATATTATGACAATAACTATAATGTGAGCCTCATTGCGGATGAGTTACCAAACAAGCCGCCCACTCCTTTTAACTACTCAACAGTGGCGAACATGTCTACATATACAAAAGAAGGAACACAGGTGATAACATTCGAATATGGTGACGAAGTGGAAATTGTGTTCCAAGGGACGAAGATAGGAGCCACGCAGAATCATCCCATGCATCTCCATGGCTATAGCTTTTATTTGGTTGGAACAGGTTCAGGGGATTTTGACAATGGCACTGACCCTAGCAGGTTTAATTTGGATGATCCACCAGAGGTCAACACCATTGCTGTCCCTAGACTAGGATGGAGTGCTATTAGATTCAAAGCCCATAATCCTGGTATGTATACACTTCTTCTCCTATATCTTCGTAACTACACACATAACCTATCTGCTTTATGCCCTATTTACTCAATGTTTATTTGTTTTCCTTTTTGAATCAGGGGTTTGGTTTATGCACTGCCATTTTGAGCGGCACACAACTTGGGGAATGGCTACTGCTGTCATAGTGAAGAATGGAGACACCAACGAAACAAGCATGCGTCCACCACCTTCATATATGCCTCCTTGCTCTTAATTCTACATCAGTTTAGTGCTTGGAGGGTTTGTTAACATGGAGTGAATGGCTTGATAAAGTCATTAAGACTTCATATGAAATAAAATTTCTAGGAAATCTGTATCTATCTCGTTTGTCTCTAATTGTATGTAGAAGTACTTAATTAATCGCCAACCTATTTTAAAACATGGCTTCGGTTCGTTTACAAGATGGTCATGGTTGTTTGGCCTCTACTTTACGCATATGGCTGTACCAGGCTTTCCAATCCCCAATGAGTCGCTATCGGCTTAAATTTTTTATGTTAGATTGCAGAGTATAGCAGATGCTGCCCGCCCATCAGGGCCCAAAGAAACATCACCATGGAGAAACCTTCATAACAGTGTCTATAAGTCCAGTATTTTGTTCCAACGCACCAGCATGTCCAGCATGCTAATGATATTAGCAGGCTAGCAGCTAGCTTAAACAACACGCCAAGCGCCAATTGACTACTATAATACTATAATGGAAGAATAAGCAACATAACATAGGTGATTCCAGATCAGCCCCCTTTTATTTTTAACTTTACGGGAAATAACTCTGACATGGCAACATATGTTTAGCTAAGGACAAAGTTGATAGCATTGGAATATGATGAAAAGTAGAATTGTGTTACGAAACCCGGCGCTTATTAGCTTAATTCATTTAGTCACCGTAGCCAATGACAGGCCGTAATGTATGCTTGAGCGGGCCTTGGCGCCCCCAAAAATTGAGAAACCCTTTAATATGCATGTATATTGGGTTAAAAAATTTTAAATTGGTTCCCTCAAACTAAATATATTAATATTTTTTATTTTTTATGGTTTCATAATTTAATATTTTGCAGTGCAATTTAAAGGGTTAAAAGCACATTACTATTTATCATTTTATTGTATTGATTAATTATTATTAAAAAATCTTTAAAACTAAGAGATTTGTAATTTATTTTAAATCACAATCATGTGATTTTAATTTTCTAGGGTTTTCAACAATATTAAGTCTCCGACAAAGGATTAAATGTGTTTTTTACCATGATTGTTGATTTTTTTTAGCTCATTATAAATTTTTTCGTCCTTATCATATATCACTTTTAATTACTTTAGATCTTTATCTTATATTGTCTTAGAATATTTTTCAACACACAAAAATCATACTAGAATCACTTTAAAAAGTTAAAAAAACACCATTGATTTTCAAACCTTAAATTTTCTTCATTTTTAAAAGTATTTATTTTTTTGTTTGTATAAATTTTAATGATCTTTCGATAGAATTTTGCCAATAACAATATTGATTTGTTTTCTTTTTTATTTCAAATTTAAACTATAAAAAATAAGAGACATTTTATATTTCATTGAAAAATTATGTAATTGGTAATTCAACTACTAATTTAAAAGTTATATTATTTTTAAACATTTGTTATAATAATATTTTCTTTTATAATTTTATATGCTCATTTTTTATTAGTTTATTTTTTACACATATATATTGATATTAATAAATATAATAAAATAATCTTACAAAAAATAATAATATTTGGTTCCCTTAAAATCAAATGTAAGATCTGTCACTGACCAAACATCAATTAAAAAATCGGCCGCCCTTGATTATATGCCTCCTTGTCCTACTTCCTAATTTTATATGTTATACTTTATAGTAAATTTAATATTTCAAGCATGTGGTTTCAATAAAATATGTTAAATTGTACAATTGATATTTGTATTTTAGTGAAATTGTAGAATTAATCTATCTATCTTAATTTGTTTAAATTGAATCTTTATACTTCAATAAATAGTTAAATTTAATCAAATTATTAATGGTTTAAAGTTTTTCTATTAAAATTGATGACGTGGTATTTTGATTTTTTTTATATGGCAATTTTGCTTACAGTCATTGACTTTGCTGACGTATCAAATCCACATGGTTAAAGATGATGATGCAATAAAAGTTTTTTCTACATTAGCATTTTTCACTTTAACTTTTCTCAAATTGTATGGCTCATCTTTATACTTTGATTAAATGATAAAATTAGTAATTTTACCTTAATGTATATTTAAATTTAGTCCTCATACATCAATTAATTTTTGAATTTAAGATTTGACCTAAAATAAGTAAAATAAAACTAAAATAAAAAGTAAAAAATTTTTTTTAATGCAAATAAGTTGAGTTGTAACAGATTTCATACATGAGTCAACATGCGAGTTCGCTAGACTTGTCTTTTAAAACGACATCATTTCAACTTATTATAAAAAACAAAAAAATTATATTTTTTTAATTTTCCTTTTTTCTCCTCTCTTTCATCCTCGTTTTCCTCTTACTTTTCTTTATAAGTTTTATTCAACGAACTCATATTTCAATGAAATTTCTAAAAACTAGTAATCAAAAAATTCAACAATCATAAAAGAAAAAAAATTTATTCTAAAAACACATAAACTACCAATACCCAAAAATTAATGATTGACACCATTGTTTTGTATCATTATCCAAAACAAAACTAAGCATAATACCCTAAAAAGTTTAAATCTAAAATCTCTAAGAAAAAAATTTCTCAATCAAAAAATTGTTTCTAATTGTTTTTGTTGGTTGTTTCTGTTTTTGTCATGTTATCATGTCGAATGTTGTTAAATTTTTAAAATTTTCATTTTTTTAATTTTTCAATTTCCAATCTCCTTTTTTTTGCCTTTTTTTTTTTTACTTTGATTTATTGACTTTCACCAACTAAACAATAGAAATAAGTAAAGAAAATAACAAATAATAAATAAAGTACTTTTGGACCTTTAAATATAATTTCACAATTAAAATCCAATTGATCCAAAAATGACTTTAGAACTTAATGTCCAGACGAAATTCGAAGCCTATTTAATATTGAAAAAATTTTCGAACAAAATGGAATGTCTACGATTGCTTTTGTTGTTGATTGTATATCTAGGTTTGTTGGGCATGTTGATTGCGGGTTTATTGATCTAACTTCTATATTTCTATCATTTTTAAATATTTTTTAATCTTTTTTATTTTAAAAATATTGAAAATAAAAATTAACAAAAAAATAAAATCAAAATAAATAAATAAAGAAAAGAAGGATAAAGAAAAGATAGAATTCAATTTATGTTGGGTTTATAATCTAGTTTGAGATTAACCCAATTTCTTAAATAAAGTCTAATTAATAATTCAAATATTCAAAAAAAAATCCAAATATGAAAAAATGTTACAGTCAAATTAATAATTTATGTTTTTTTTATGTGTTATTTTAGGTCAAATCTTAAATGCAACAATTAAATAATGTATATAGATTAAATTTAAATACATATTAAGGTTAAACGACTAATTTCATCATTTAACTAAAGTATGAGGACAAGCCATATAATTTGAAAAAAATTTATATAAAAAATACTAATGTGACAAAAATCATTTTTGACCATATGGACTTGATATATCAGTAAAATTAATGATTATGTAAGCAAAAAGGTTATATAAAAAAGTCAAAATATCACATCATCAATTTTAATGAAAAAAGTTTGAACCATTAATAATTTGTCTAAATATGACAACTAATTGGAATATAAATATTCAATTTGAATACATTAAAATAGAAAGACTAATTCCATCATTTGACTAAAATACAAATGTATCTATCTATTAGACTAATAAAATACTTTGCGGAGCTTGTAATAAGCTTTTCAAAATGGTCATATATTAAAGGTTGATTGAAAGTAATCTTTATTTGTGAAGAAAAGTTAACTCTCCGTCTCATTTGAATGTTACTTATTTATTTATTTTTCATAAAAGAGGTTGCATGTTTGGATATAAAAAGAGTTGTACCAATTGGTATTTGAACTCTAGACTTATTAAATATTAACTCTTGAGAATAATTATATGAACCAACTAATTAAGCTATAAGTTTTATATGAAATTTGTGCAATTCAACTTCCGACCAGATGAATTTCGATTATATTTTGCATCAAAATCTGGCCCAACCTGTGGCAATTCAAGCCATGTTCAGTTAATTATAGTCTCAAACAAATCACATTGTAGTCTAAGAAAAACTTTCCGTCACCCCCTTTCCTTCCCCACCCACAAAAAAAAAAAAAAGAAATACAATATTAAAAATTCCTCGTTCGAACAACAAACACCAATTACAGCTAACAAAGAACTTTTTAATGAAAAATCACAAATAATTTCCACAGCTAACATGAATTATTCAGAGGGCATTGATATGTAAGTGATTTGCCTTATTGAATCTCTTATTGAAGCAGCAAGCTATATCCTGGGCACTTGAAATTATGTAATTAAATTAAACACCAGCACTGGCGGTATATTGTATGATTCCGGTGGTAACATATCTACCAGAGGAAGGCCGAGCAGTCATGTAATATTGGCCAAGATTTTGGTTTGCGGCTAACAAAATGTCCAATGTTTGGCCTGGGGCTAGTGTCAGAGAATTGGCAAAAGAGCGTCTGCTGTAAGCCCCACTTTGTCCGACAATTGTGAAGCTGTGGTATGCGATTCCAAACACCATTGTTTCATTGACCGCAGCATTTACTAAGCGAAGAAGGTAAACACCCTCGTAATCTACTTGTAGTTGATATGTTGTATCTGCAACATGAAATTATGTAATTGTTATTACCAATAAAAGTCATCCTTTGAAATAGAAGGCTAAAACTTAATTATATAATTGTTTTTATCATTGATTCTCTTCGCCTCTATCTCTATCTCCCAGAAGTCAAGTCATAAGCTTTCATTGTTGCTAGGGAAGAGGATGCAAAAATTCATGTCATGCATATTTAATTTTTGATATAAACAATAGTGCCAATTACAGCCTCGCGGATTGTTGGTACGCTAGATACTTAGTTTCAGTAATTAAGACTCAAATCCTAACAATCTTAAATACCAAAAAATATATAAACAATGGTGCATACATACCGTTGCTGCATCCATATGTTTCTCCAGGATGGCCATTGATTGTGTAAGCATCTGCTTGGCCTGGAGCAATGGTTTCATTAGCTTCCGTTAATTCTTGTTTAAACCATGATCCTGACAGAAAGAATATGCCAAAGAATTGTTCAGATTTATAAGATTTAGAAAATATGAATCAAATAAAAACATAAGCAGAAATAGAAGAATTATGAACATATATTAATCGTACCAAGTATAATTGTTTGGTCTGAAGTAGGGGCAGGAAAAGGATAAGTTTCATTGGCTGCAGGCAAAATGACAAAGGCGCCATGGACGGTGGCACTGGCCCAGGCACTCTTAGCATGCCACCAAAGAGTTCCTAGTTCCTCGTCTAATTCGATCTCATAAGTTAAGTTTCTACCAGGCTGAATCAAATCATCGGAACCATCAATTGAATCCTCAACACCCTCCCTACAGATGTTCCAAGAAAGAAAAACCAGCAAAAAATAAAAAAGATTTGAATTATCTCATCATAAAATAGTAGCTGACAAATTGATCAGAAGATGGAGTGCTAGAGGAAGTACCACACTATGGAAACAGCATCGTTTCCTTGATTATGGACATTGACAAAAACTGTGTCCCCTCTGCGAACCCGAATCTCTGGCCCTGGAAAACTGCCATTTACGGTCAAGATGCTCATTGTGCTACACAGCTTTGTGAACTCGGATTCTTGTAGCTGCAATCAGAGATAAGAAAACAACCCAAAATAAAAATTCAACACGCTAATCAACGGGAAAGAAAGGGGAAAGCCGCCGTAACTTACAACAAATGCATAATGGTGGACATCAGCACTGGAAAAGAGAAGGATATTCAGAAACAAAAGCCCTGATAACCAAATAAAGCCCTGCTTTTGAGAACCCATTTTGTGTATCCGTGTTCTTCAGTTCTCCTTTTCTTCGTGCTCTTTTGGTTTCTATCCATTTTCTGATTTATAAAAGCAGCCATTGTCCATGCTCAAGTCATTTGCTTGCGTTATTGTCTTGAAAAAAAACCGAAGACTTTGAAATCGCTGTACCCAATCAGAAATTCAATTCTATACAACAGAAATTTGCCAACTTTCTAGACGCATAATCTGAAAGTTAAGTCATGGTCAAACCCGCTAAAATATTTTCGTTGATCTTTCGTCTCACCTAATTGAGTGCAAATGAAGTTTGATAATGAGAACGGGAAAAAAAGTCAAATTTATCGCCGTGTGATTATGAGAATAGGAAAAAAAAAGTCAAATTTATCACTGTATCATAGTGGAAGTTTCATATTTAATATTCTATTTTTTATGCAATTCTAGTCATTTATGAATGTGAATAAAATATTTTATCTAAATTAAAAAATATTTATTAAAAAGTTTAATTAATTAATTAATTTTTATTTTATAAAAAAGTAAAAAATATATCTTTTTGGTAAGTCAAGATTTTATTATATAATGGTTCTCATGATACCTTGACAAACCTCACCATGGTCTTGTTTCTTTCCTTACACACCATTCCACCACCCCTGTAGTATCAGATTCTATTAACAAACCCACCTTTTCCATCTCGCCCTTTTTAGTTAGCACGTCTGAGGCCGTCTTAATAGCTAGTAATTCTGCTCCACTGGTTTCCTGATTTCCTAACGGTCCTAAAAACATCCCAAGAATTACCCCGACTTCGTTTTGTAGGACACCCCCACAATCAGCCGGCCCATGATCACCTTTTACTTAACCATCCACATTGAACTTCAAGAAATCCTTTGGTGGTCTCTAATGGGCACTATCTCTACTTAGTCTCATAACACACTGTTAGAAAAAATAAATAAGATAAAAAAAATAATAGAAAAAATTTTAGCTTTGAGATATGAAGAATATTTTTTTAAAGGCAATTATATTTTTAAGATGCAATAAAGCTTCAAATTTTCAATCAGAAGTAGTGAAAATGGTTATACTTAAAGATTTATTTATAATGAATAAATAGACATAAACTTTTATTTAGATGGTTATGATCTTCTGCATAATCATGACATTTATGAATAATAATCTATCTATATTCAAATAGTTACGACCATTTGTCATATGATAATTATTTTTATTCAAACATAATTATTTAAAATATGAATAAAATTAATACAAAAATTAATTTTATTTATCAATAATTAAATCTTTCTATCCAATGTAGGATGCGTCACATTTTAGAGTACCAATAATCCCCCATTAGTTTGGAATTTTGGTGCTTAATTTTTATTTTTCACAAAAAAAAATTATAAATACAAGAAGGTATCTCTCGATTTAAATATTTAATTAGCTTATATATCTTAGAATTCTAATGAAGTTGTTGGAGTCCGTAGATTAAACCTCAACTCCTAGTGTTACAATTGAAGATATAACATATAATACTTATTTATTCTTCTGTCAGAGGTTTATAATCACTTTTAATACTATTATGGCTATATGCTTATCCTATTGATAAATATTTATAAAAGAGACCTCAATACTTTTTATTGAAGCGGCACCACTTCTATATTTATATAGCTAGCGTTTTCATTATGTCTCTGTTGCTTTAGACATTGAAAACTCCATTAAGAGTACAAAAACCCATCCTCCCTACATAATAGATCACACTAGTTACTAAAATTTGAATAGATTTTACTAGTGTTTAACAAACACATAAAAATAACTTATTTTTACTCATTAAACTTTGTAATTAGAGGTTACTAATTCAAAGTTGAGTTTCCATCATTGGTATATAATAGTAGGAGTTTAAATCCATTTTACTTGTAGTACAGCTAACCAAATATTTTGGAATTTAATTTTCTTTTATGGTAATTATCCCCATTTGAGATTGAATCTTTAATATACTCACTTCAGGCTAATATGTCCAAACTTTTTATTTTGCATATCATTTATATGCTTCATACATTATTGCCTTATCCTTATCATTTTAAAAAATAGTTGGCTTTGGTTGTGGCCACAACTCTATATTTATTAATTTCAACCATTCTGTTTCCATATTTTTATACATTTTTAATATAATTATACTTCTAGTACAATTGGATAAACTCAATGAATAAATCAAATAATTTTAGTCTTTTAAAAATTTTTAAGAACCTTTTATGACTTTACTTTAATAAGTGTTTAAACTTATTAGCTTGCATAATATGCTCCTAAAATTATACTAAAATCTTACAATACTATAGTGGTAATTTTTATTTCTTTTGATTCTTATTATGCAAGTATGCATTTTTTTATTAAAGAATATCTCATTTAATCATCAAGATATTATATATACTTAATCAAGTTGTCATTTTATTTATCTTTTCGCTATTTGGTGGTTTTTTTTTAAGTTGGAGGCCTCCACATCTACCTTTAGTGAAAGATAATTAGCTGATATCTTAATATTTCAATAAAAGTTTCAAAACTTTTATATTTTAACTCAATATAAGAGTTTACATCAATAAACAGATTTCAAATATTATCATGCTTCTATAGTCTCCTTTTAAGACTTTTATGTGAATTCATAAATATTTATATGAATCGATTTCATCATGGACACTATTTATTATCATGAACAAACCATTTTCATCACCCAAATGGATCAAATAGCATTCTTTTAGCTATTATAAAAGTTTTCAAATTCACAAGATCTTTGAATCACTCACGACTTTCAAAGTAAATATACTTTGAAATTTTCACTATATAAAACCATAGAAAATAAATTATTTGTACAATCTATAAATTAGACTATATACATAACAAAAAAGTACCACAACATGATCAAGATTGTGGCATCAATTTTGCCTTGTGGCTATTCTAAGCCAACCATAATAATCGACCTCATACTTACAAATTATGTAGATTTGGCTATTAAAATTATTTCGTTTATAATGATAGTTTTTAGTGAAAACTAACTATCTCAAATGTTATCATGAGTTTTTAATGCATATAGTAATTGCCCAATGGCCAATTTCCAAGTTCATGATTATTGAAACCTCTAAATTTGATATTAAAATTTTGTGAGTGCTCTATTTCTCCATCATTGTGTAGCCTATATATCTCTGTTATTTACCATTTTTAATCGGTCAAAACATTTTTGGATATATAATAAATTCAAACTTTACTTATAGGACCAATATGCCTATATACAATAAGAGTTTATAATATATTTAACAATCATGTTGTGACCAATATGTTCATATCTAGATCACCATAACAATGCAAGTCATGAAACATGAATCCAAAGAATCATTTTCATAAAATAGTATAAACAATAATTATAACATGAGTTCTACTCATCTTTCATGCAAAAATTCATGATAATTTGCTTAGGTTAAATCATTGATTGGCTAACTCTAAGGCTTATGGCTTTCACAAACCAATATTATTATCTAAGCTCATATGTTAATATAATATATAATTAGCCACATCCTTGCCATTGTCATGAAACTATTAAAAACCTTAAAAACTTATTCAGTTTTCATTTTAATAGCCTGCAAAAAGCCATTTTTTCGGGTATAAAAGGCAAAATTACCTTCATTGTCTTTAACGAATAACGTATTAATTAGTTGATGGCATTCTACCTCCATAGTCCATATCTTTTTTATATGTATAAGAAAGAAAATTCCATCCCATTCAGTTCATTTTCATAATATATGGCAAACTATATCAATGTTCTTCATGCCATCACAAAATGGAATTGAACATATGCATGTATTGGTGCCTTTGAAACATTGAATTTGCATATTCTTTTCTAATTTATAAACATGCCTAATTAGACATTGATGAGCTTCCTTCAAAATGCTAATAACTGACAAATGCTTTAAAATTTTTTAATGCCATGCCTTTTCATTTAATCAACATCCCATATACGAAAAGCAACAATGTTTTTTTTGTAATTATTGATTAACTCTTTTATGGCGTTTTATGATTTTCACTTTGTGATTTGTTCACAATAAAATTTTATTTTATAAAATTACTTCTAGTGTAATACACTCTGCAGGCAAAATACATGTCACTTTGCCTATGTTTATGATAATAATCATTATTTGGTTTATTATTCACCATTTAATACATGAAACACCATATCTTAATAATAATAATTATTATTATTCACATATAACAATTTAATTTTATTTGGTTTTCATGAAAATTAAACACTAGTCAAAATTTGAACCAATAATAAATTCTATATATATGTATCAACATTTGATTTATAAATAGCCAACAAAGATAGAATCATACAAATAGCTTGACTCAACTTATTATCTCAATTTTGATGCCATGATTTAATAATAATACTAATCTTGTAGCCTAATCTTATTTTCTGCATATATTCTCTACTTGCATCTAATTTCTCATGGTAAACTCCTTTACCCATTTTTGATTGTTTTCATAGAAACTATGGGACAATTTGCTTGTTTTATATATAATCAAGACATGACAATTAAATAATTGGTCATTCCATTAGAACCCTATTTAATTCGTTACTTGATAACAAGTTATAATTCATTTGGTCGTAAATCAATTCATGTCTTTCTTTTTTATGTTTTCAAGCTATTTCCCATCTTAGTCTTTATAAGCATCGATTTTTCAAAAAACTATAATACAATTCACTAAATCCAATTGTGGAGTCAATTTCAGTATATGCATAAACTTATCCAATGTAATCAATATTTTGTATAGTGTTTTGACTTTACACACTAATAAAATAAATTGTTAACGTATTTATCTCATTTAGTCAATTTTTTTATCAACAATTATACAAAAAATAAAATACATACCTCTAATGAAGATCTTTATAAAAATTAACATTTTGGTCTATAGAAAAATTAATCCTTTAACCCCTTGAACCTTTTTTAACATTGATATCCAAATCATGCCAATTCCTTTTCCTTGTATCTTTCTTGTGTGAAATATAAATTTCTCATAATTGCCTTTCAATTGTTAGAAAAAATAAATAAGAGAAGAGAAATAATAGAAAAAAGTTTTGGCTTTGAGGCGTGAAGAACACTTTCTTAAAGACAATTATGCTTTTAGGATACAACAAAGCTTTAAACTCTCCAATCAAAAGCAGTGAAAGTGGTTATACTGTAAGATTTATTTATAATGAAT